TAATCTTAGATTGTCCGATCTTGGCGAGGGCCTTGAATGCGCCGACGTGTTCCTCTGGGTTCTCGTTCATTTGCATAGCAATCTTTGCTAGCTCTTCCTGTGCTGCAAGGATCTGCTGAGGCTCTGGGATCTCAGGCTCCTTTTCCTCCTCTTCTTCCTCCTCCTCCGGCTCCTCCTCCGCTTCATCCTCGCGGCCTTCTAGCCATTCAGTGTCGCTCTCAATTGACGCAGTCTCATCGTTTTCCGCTTCGGCTTGCTCAATTCGACCATCGGCTGTCTTGATGGGGAGCCTGTTGCTCTCTTTTTGCTTCTTGCCTTTGCGTGGGCGCGTCTCATAGTCTTGTTCGAGACTCCAATTTGAAGCGTTCTTAAAGAAAGACTTCTGAGCGCTTCTTGAGTCGTTCTGATATTGGGTCTCATGATTGGCAGAATCATGAGCGATCTTTCTTCGTTTTGTGCCGTTTTGTGCCATTTTTGTGTCTTTTTTCCAGTTTATGGCACGAGATAAATCGCCTCTTGAAGGTTTTGTCGCCATCTGTCTCGTCGATTTCTTCGAAGGTCGACAAGGTCTTGTGGGGCCGAAGGAAAATCGCATGTAGTGATTGGGCAAGATGATCACTCACCGCCAAAAAGTTGGACTTTTCTGCCGGGTAGAAATGCCCCTCTACCTTAGTTACCAAATTATTTCCCAGCCGCAGTGTTTCTTTCTACCGTGCCTGCTAATCAACTCGATCTACTCCATCGAACCGCAACAAATGGGTTTCACAAAGCCGCCTGTTCAGGCGCTCAAGTCTTCCAATAAGCTCAAACGAAAGGAGCTCTTCGTCCAGTACAAGAAGCACCAGAACAAGGAGAGACATGAGGAACGACACCGCCGCCGTAGGGAAGAAGCAAAGGACCCTGAGCTCAAGGCAGCCCGTCTAGCCAAGCGCAAACCTGCAACGATCGACTCGAAGCGAGTATGGGATGATATAGACGATGACAGTCTTGGTGTACAGGTGGACCTCGAGAAGTTGAAGCGCCGCCGCATTGAAGAGGCTGAAGCAGCAGAACAGGCGGCTCATGAGGCTGCAATGCGCGCTGAGGAAGAGCTGGACGAGGACGAGGACGTTGACAGTATGCTGGCTTCGGATGAGGAGGTGGACGAAGAGCGACAGGCTGCAATGGAAAAGAACCGTCAACGCCGTGCACAGCGAGATAACAGTGTTGCCCCATCCACAACAAGCACAAACCTTGACTTGACACCAACGTCACTGGCCCTAAAGTTTCCATCTCTTTTCACCGACATACCGGCTCCTGAGCCCAAGATTCTGGTCACAACCTCTATCAACTCTACTCTCCACGAACAGGCCCATGTTCTCTGCGAGTTCTTCCCCAACAGCTCTTACGTCCCTCGGTCGGCCCATCGATACGGCCATAAGTATTCGCTCCGAGAGATCTGCAAGTATGCCTCAAATCGAGAGTACACAGCCATAATTCTCCTCAAGGAGGACTCCAAGAAACCTACAGGTCTCACGGTTGTGCATCTTCCTTCCGGCCCAACCTTTCATTTCTCCATCACAAATTGGATCGAAGGCAAAAAGCTCCCAGGCCACGGCAACCCAACAAATCACTACCCTGAACTACTTCTCAACAATTTCAAGACACCACTTGGTCTGTTGACAGCCAAGCTGTTTATGACCTTGTTTCCCCCTAAGCCCGAGTTCCAAGGTCGCCAGGTCACTACGCTCCACAACCAGCGAGATTATATCTTTGTGCGACGACATCGTTACGTGTTCCGAGAAAAGCGACAGACAGAAAAGAGCATCGTCGGTGCCGATGGAAAGGAGGTTAGAGGCGTGGAGGGTATCCGTGCTGGTCTCCAGGAGCTCGGTCCCCGCTTCACCCTCAAGTTGAGGAGAGTTGACAAGGGTATTGGAAGAGCTGGAAGTGAAGGTGATGATGCGACACAGTGGGAGTGGAAGGCCAAGATGGAGAAGGACCGCAAGAGGTTCAACCTATAATTGCTTCTCTAATAGTGGGTTGGTAGTCATGGTGCTTGGCGTTCTTGAACTTGAACCGGCAATACAATGCAGTACAAAGATAACGAAGACATCTCCATATCACGCTCCAGGTCGCTGTCATTCCTTTTTCTTACCCAATGTTGTGTAGCATGTTCTTCAACCCAAAAATTCGAGAAGAGGCGAACCTCACGGCTGATTGGCATGATCGATGAGGTGTTGCTTCGCATCAAGTGACTTCACTGTGCCCTGCTCATGATGTCCGGACTCGTCGAAGGCCTAGGGGAGTACTGCCTTAGTACTAACTCAGTAGCTTAAGTGTCCAAGGTAAGGTGGTAATACCCAGGGACAATACGAGTGATCTCGCAGAAGTAACATTCAAGGTAGGCACTTTGACGAGTACATTTTCTATCAAGGAGACAGTTGCTCAGAGTTTGACGATGGTCGACAGTGACCTCTGAGATACCCAGGATGGTGGTTTCCGTATCTCAGGCACCTTACCTAGGTAGTAGATATGAGTCTTCTCCTTCACCAACAACTCACAGAGTACTATCATATTCATGATCACTTGCTTGTCTTACTCCGAGCAGCATTTCTCTTCGTTTTTATCTTCATAGTCAGTTTCACAAAAACAGACAAAATGTCATCCGTCGACCAGCCCTACCTGCGTTCAGGGTGTTCTTTACCTTCACCAGGAGAATTATATGTGAAGACCCGCCCGCGATGCGGGACCAGTTCGATGAGGATCACATCATCTTCCATTCAGGGTTAAGTTTATCTGGGTGTTAAATCCGTCTCCGGCTCAGGAGGTTCTTCCTCCTTATCAAGAAACTTGTACGCAGACCCATGGACGAGCTACAGGCAGATTACGAAGAATATATACGAAGTCGCTCGCAACACCCTGTTGAATTCCGGAATGCCGCCTATGATTCCCCAAGTAAAGATCGAGAAGTCTTTCTCACGTCTATGATTCTTGAGGTGACTAACGAGGCAAAAGAGCATATATTGGATCAAAGGCCAACCCCCGTGCCTTGACCTCTAACCTCTGTGAGATGTGCCGATCCTATAGCTGACACAGCCGCTGGGTCTCCCGTAGTGCCTCAAGGAGCTGAAGATAGGGTTTCTGTATGAGTTTATTCCCTTCCATCATCCGAACAACCAACGCTTCCCAACCTTGGGTATTCGTGGGCTTTGAATACATATTTATGATCATGGATGTGACTTATAAGCTGTTAGGTTCGTGAAAATGGGCAATAGATATGGCTACCGTTGATAGGTAATCGAATGCACCAGGTTATGTTCTTGCTGTTGGCTGAGCATGTCTACTTCTCAAGGTAATTCACCCAGACTCACGTTCCTTAGCGACACATTATTATGGGTATTCATTCTGGCTGAGACCATAGATGAAGTGGCACCAAGGTTGAAAGCCGGAAGTCATGTCCCTTGGCAGTGGATGGTAGAAAGTCCTGGCCATGAGTATCAAAACGGTTATACGGATATAAGAAGGCGCTTTAGTCTTCCGACAATGCTCTTCGACTACAATGCGCCTGAGAACTAGCTGGTCAGTATCCATTGTCAATCGAGCCCATTCCTCAAGTCCACGAATGGCGGGGACTCGGAGTGGGAGCCTTGACCCCTGTTTGACGTAACCCCTTTCAGGATATCATATCCGTGACAGGTCGAGGTCTTGAGTCCTTGACGATGATAGTTGCTCCACTGCTACAGTGCATCGAGTCACTTTGAGATTATTGATGAGGGGAAATCATTCGATATGCTGGCAGGTGCGGGAATACAAGAATATCCCATTCCGTTGGGAACGATGCCTATAAAACGGAAGATCTCTCCCGGCCATTGCTACAGAAGCAAGGGTTAAGCGGAGAGTCGAAAGCCACGCTCTGCTCATGATGTTTATCAGTAACGGACCTAAAGAGTAGTAGAGGGGAAAGCCCAGCGATGCAAGCCCCCTTCAAGAGGGATCAAATCCTCTCTGTTACCCAATGTATAAGAGACCTCAAGTTGGAGGACTTCAGCGCCCCTGTCAGAGGCCAATACAGTCATTTATTTTAAGAGCGTGACTACGCAAGTAACGTTACTTTTTATATTCACCTAATTAATTATCCGAAGCAGTGGCCGAATCGTGGTAAAGACACAATTAATAATGCTTGCCCGAAAGCTGGATAGGAATCGTTGAGGTTGTGGAGCGATATTAGTAGGCACCTTCTCCGTACTGAGGGAGCCCGTAAATCGAAGCTTGACTTTGAGTTCAGTGCTTACATCCAAGCATCTGTGGGCGCCCTACCGTCGAAAACGGTGATGGAACGTTAATCGTCGTACCGTTCGCTTCAAAGGCCGAGAACAGGAACAGCAGGGAATCAAAGCATAAACAGGACAAGTGGAGTCTTGGAGAGCATCTAATATAGTCATGGGATCTTGAGTAAGATCGGCATACATCTTATCTACCTCCCACAGGTAGTAGGCAATTATCACAACATTTTTGAACTTGAGCTGTGGCGCAACGTCCTTTTCCAGGAACCAACGCCACATCCTACATACCTGACTAGCGGTTTGGCTCCATTGGTGAGGTGGCGTTACAAGTTCAACTGTGCTGCATTGGACAAACCACGCTAGAATTCGACGTCTCTTCGTGTTCTGTGTGATTTGTCCCTTTAACTCGATTGAGTTGCTGACAACTATTAACGAAAAACCTCAACAGTGTTACACAGGATAACTTATTCGTATTCTAGACCAAATCTCTTCATCAAAGATCTCTCTTCATTGCTTCTGAGCCGAGGGATTGCCCTTTACATATCCCCTGTCCCCTGTCCCCTGTCTACCCATGACCCATCTCCCGTGGGTGGTTTGCGACAATTAAAATCCTGGCTGTTCATGACGCAGGCAGATTTGTCTGCATAACAGCAGAGACTCTGCCACCAAAGTCACAGTCAATGCCCTGATGCACGCTGCTTCAAATAGAGCAGACTCAAATATCCTACGACGAATATGACGGCCTCTTCTGATCAACCGCGAACTAACGGTGACGCCGGTGGTAAGTCACCCAACTTGACATCTCGTCATCCGGGCAAGCTATATAAGCGAATGGTCGAGCTGTAGACTAACCGATATTTCTAGTTGGGACAAATAACCACAGCAAACAAAGCGACATATGGAAGCATGCCCCTTTACTCATTGGCACAACCAAATTTGAGCCTCGCTCCGATGTTAAAAACATCATGATTACGGGCGGCGCTGGCTTCATGTGAGTGACGTCCTGCAACGCCAAGCTCTGCTCCACTGACAGCCCATTTTCAAGCGCTTGCTGGGTCGTCCGCCATCTCACTTTGACTTATCCACATGCCTATAATATTGTCTCATTCGACAAGCTAGACTACTGCGCTGCTCTCAACAACACAGGCGTCCTAAGTGAATCCTCCAACTTTACCTTCTATCATGGCGATATCACCAATCCAGCTGAGGTTGTTGACTGTATGGAGCGATACAATATTGATACAGTTCTACACTTTGCCGCCCAGTCACATGTGGACTTGAGCTTTGGCAACTCTTATGGCTTCACACACACAAACGTCTACGGAACTCATGTTCTCCTTGAAAGCGCCAAGAAGGTTGGCATTGGCCGCTTCATTCATGTGTCGACTGATGAAGTTTACGGTGAAGTTAAAGAAGACGACGACGACCTTCTCGAGACGAGCATATTGGCTCCTACAAATCCATATGCCGCCAGCAAAGCGGCAGCTGAGATGTTAGTGCAGTCTTACCAGAAGAGTTTCAAATTACCTGCCATCATTGTGCGGAGTAACAACGTATACGGTCCTCATCAGTATCCGGAGAGTGAGTCAGAAAGCAGCCTACCGCGTGATGCATGTTCAAGATTCTAACCGACCGTGACTAGAAATCATCCCCAAGTTTACATGTCTTCTTAACCGTCAGCGGCCACTGGTTCTGCACGGAGACGGCACGCCTACCCGGCGATATCTCTACGCTGGCGACGCAGCTGATGCGTTTGACACGATTCTCCACAAAGGTCAAATTGGCCAGATTTACAACGTCGGTTCACATGATGAAGTATCCAATCTAGAGCTCTGCGGGATGCTGCTCGACCGAATGAGGATACCACACGATACCCCGGAGCAGCTCCGCAAGTGGATCAAGTACACTCGGGACAGACCCTTCAACGACCGTCGGTATGCAGTTGATGGCACCAAGCTAAAGAGGCTTGGTTGGGAGCAGAAAGTGTCGATTGATGAAGGCCTCAAGATCACAGTCGATTGGTTCACGCAATTCGGAGAGACCTGGTGGGGAGACATCAGCCATGTTCTCACGCCGTTTCCTACCGTGAGCGATGGCGAGATGGTTCCGGATGATGCGCGATCAATGCGCGATGAACCACTTGAGTCCCAAGATATACGACAGGGCAAGCTGCCGGAACAGCACAAAAATGATGATATGAGTGGTGGTTGTCGATCAACACAACAGAACGGTGAGGATACAAGTGGGCTACATCAAAATAACGGCGGCGGTTATCAAATTACCGCGTAACGAACAGCCATTCTTTTTGCGGGCCTTTTTTTTTCTTTTCTTTTTTTTGTTTCTCCCCAAGATGTATTTTGACAAATAGAACAGATAGAAGATGAAAGACATTGATACCACGTACGAGGGGGCTGATGACGAGACGAAGTCCGAAAGCCGGGGCTGCAACTTCAACCTAGATCAAAAGAATCTTGAATACATACCTAACTTACCGGGGATACATGTTTGTGCGTCTACCGTATGGGTTAGACCACGTAGCAATCAAGATGACCGCAACAACTATCGCTGGCTTTTCTGTAAGTCAAGCTAGACGCTATGGCATTGGCTATCTATCATCAGCTTTGAGAACAACTCAACTCTGGATCATCTAACTAAGCTCTCTGAGTAACCAATAAGCCCCCCTGTAACTGCAGGAACACAATCAGGACAGAATGCAACAATGCATATCCAATGACCACAGTTAATGACGCGTTCTCCTGCATGATGCATCACTAACTGGGGTGGGCAAAAGGGAAAAAATCAAGCCAAAATCCAGGGGTTATCTTCCCAAAGGCCCGGTATCATATGCAAATGCAGAGACAACGCCAGCACACAGACATAGACACAGACACAGACACAGACACAGACACAGACGCACTCTCGGGGCAGACACCAAGTCCAAACCAGCGGGTCGGGGAGAGGCTAAACTCCGCGGCGCCGGGCCGACAGTCTAATGCGTCCCGGGAAACTCTGACAGCGCATATAACAAGGGGCAACAGTTTGTGTGATACGTGTTGAAGTTCTTTCATTCTACGGAGTCTCCAGCGAATGGGATCACGGCGGGACGATCCTAGACTGGGGAGGGTTTGACATCTTTTTTTGTCGATGCCCAATGTGAACCGACCTGCCGGATAAGGGACAAGGGAAAGGTTATCCGGGGGGTGAGGGTTTTTAGTATGTGATGGTGTGTTTTTGCATCATACATACTATTTTTTGTAACTGCCGAAATGTTGATAGGCAACCATGTACTAGACTATGAACTATGCGGAGAGCTGGAAGAGTTTCCAATTGGAATTACTGACATTTGGGTTGCACTAAAGAGTTTGACGGGGCGGGAGGGCTTTGATTAATTGCCTCTAACCTGTTAACTTGGAGCTTGGGTCAGAGGGTAAAGGGGACGGGCCGCTTCAAGATGTGAGACCTTACTGGCTCCGTAGCAGACAGACAATGACTAGAATTTGATGAGTCGACGATTGATAAGTGAGTTGCAGTAGGAAGAAGTTTATCTGTACATACATATGACAACGGCGAGGTCATCCTTGTCGTATCAGTACCCAATTCCGCCTGTAAATAATTAGTAAAAGCCAACTTGTCCAGGTTGTTGCGCTTCATCGACCGTTTTCTTTTTTCTCTCCGACGATGTGGAGATATGTAACTTAGGTACACCCATGACACAAGGAAGACGCGGGTAACCGTGGTCAAAGAGTCTTCGCTCTTTTGAGTAACAGCAATGCCGATACATGAGTGACAAGCAATTATGCTTAACACGAATTCCCTATTGCCGTATTGTCTTGTCTTGGCATGCGATAACAGGATTGGATTTCTGTTAGACAGAGGCACAAGGTATCCGGCTCACAGTAAACATCGACTCATGAAAAGACCCGCATGGACGCTTATCTGAATCAGGTTTAAGTCTTTGTCTGGATTGTGAACCCTGAACCAACTGTGCGTCCCCTGCTGTTGCACTGCTCCACTGCCGTGGGATGATGGACCACGAGCCAGGTTCCCTGAGGGGGAAACTCTTAGCACCCCGAAGAGGGCAAGTTTCTGTGTTGCTCATTGCTTCTTAAGAGCCTAGATTGGACTGGAACTTGCCGTGGTGCTTCTGAGTACTTCCATGGGGTGACACTACTGATGAGAATACCTAATCCGCGCCTTCTTGTGAGATGAGGTCGTACAGATACTACTACATACATACCTACTGCCCATGTCAACCAGTTGAGAAACGCCTACCTACACACATAGGTACCTAGGTATACCGTGGACCTTTCAATAGGTACCTAGTGCACAGAGGCTCGGGGCCCAGGCCTGCCTCTTCCAACCCCCCGGTAGCCGAGGCCGTTTGACAAGCAGAGCCAAGCAGCCAAGCTCACCGGAGCAACATCAATCCGAGAGCAGCTGCAGAAACATGCATGGAGTGAGGAGTCCGTGTTTAGGATATATGCGGCGGGTTAAAGGGCCAGGTACGCTTACAGTGCCGGGAGCTGAGGAATGGATAAACCTCCACCTTGACCGTCGAATCGCATAAACGGACAGTAATGGAAAAACGGCCGTCAGAGGGATACAACGTTTCATGATTTATGTTCTCTTTGAGTTAGGGATACGGAGATACTGCACAGGGTTGCCACGGCCTTCCGTTACCAGCCAGTATTGCTAAGCTCAAGAAGGTCATAAAGCATGGGGTTACGGCTGTCATGTAGGTAGTATGTACATTTGTATATTTGGATTTGATCTGAAAGCAGGTTGAAGCGTGAGTGCTGTATTGTTGCTGCACTGTATATGAGTGGACAACGAGCCCGCCTCATCGCTGCCTCCTCTATTGTGTACTGGGTAGGTGTAATACGTATCCAAATCTTCCAACTTCTTAACTTCATCTTCAACTTTGGCACCTTCTTCTCTACCTACCTACTCCGTACCTTGCGCACTAATAAGGTAGCCAATCCCTCGTCAGGAAACAGCTAGCGTCTACCACCGTCAACCCCAAGAGCCTTGTCGTCTACTAACCACAAACGTTGTCAACCGACCGGCATATCCTTGTCTCTCAGAAGCAGCACCAGAGGCAGAACCCCCCCCCCCCCTGTACCCGATCCTTGGATCTCTCTCTCTTCCTCCACTTTTGTTCTGTTCTGTCCATTGTATTCATCAGGAAAAGAGAATACTCGAGTTGTTTTTGTTCCTGGTTCTGTTTGGTTTTTCAACCCAACGACCGTACTAATTACTAGCTCTGGCTCTAGTGTGTTCCCCCGGCTTTTCCTCTCTATCGTTGACTCAACCAGTCAACTTATCTCTTCCCTCTTCCAACCTCAGACTATTCGTAAACTGACCATATAATTTGTCTGCCTTTTTCTACGGATTCTTCCGGTTCCCTCAGACCCTTGTCCACGTTTCTTGGTCTGTGCTCATGGGCCTTTACCAATCCCCAGGTCTTCTTCCTTCTTGAAGTCTTGGATCCTCCTCCACTCTACGGACACTTCACGATTACATATCTCGTCTTTCATCCATAATTGCTTTGTTTGTGCTTTGACGGCTGCTACTGCCGCTCGGGCTCGTACGGACGGTCTTTAGACAAACACTGCAACCTCGCTCTCGCGAATAGACCCGAACCTAACTAATTCGGTTTCTTCGCCTCAACCTCTCATTCACCAAACCTTGAGCCATTCTCCGTCATCGCGACAGCAACAACGAATCACACCTGGGCCCAAACTTTGTCGCCCGCGCCGCTCGTTTCAGCCTCATTCCCGATCTCAAGCCATGTCGTTAGCCAATATCACATTCATTCAATTATCCTAGCTGTCATTCTCCTTCTTTTCTTCTCTCTAGACACCCATGGCCAAAAAGCGAAGGACCAAGCAACGCAAAAGTACACGGGGACGTCACAACCAGTCTCAGACGAGCACAATGTCCTCGGAGGACTCGTACGCTGTACAGAGCGGCCGACAATCTAGCGACGGTACACCGAGCGAGCATGCCAATAGCGACGGAAATAACACAGCCATGACCAGTATCATGGGTACCGATGAGGAGCATCACCACGATGATTCCGACCTCGATGAAGATGTTGACGAAGACGACATGATCTCCATATATCCCGCTTCTCAATACCCAAGGGTCTCTGCTTCACACCGTGTAGAGACGCCATTCTCTCCAGATTCCCATGCTGTAGACTCAGACATGTAAGCGACGTCTTGTGCTACATTCCTTGCCACGACTAACAACATGCTAGGGCTGCATCGACACGATCGTTGTGGGCGCAAGACCTTGACTACCGAGAAATCCACGGCCGGCGCTACTGTCGCGAATATTATATGCCAAACGACGACATCGAACAATGGAGAATGTCTCTTCAACACCAAGTATTTATGCACGTCCTAGACGGTGAACTCACTCTTGTCCCTCTCCAAAACCCCGAGCATATTCTCGACATCGGCACAGGAACAGGTGAATGGGCAATCAAAATGGCCGAGCTGCAACCCCAGTGTGAAGTTGTCGGAACCGATATCGCTGCGATAGCCGAGACTAAAAGCGTGCCCATGAACGTCTTCTTCGAAATTGAAGACGCCGAGGATTGGGATCGCCACCCCGATATGTACGACCTGATTCACTTCCGGCTCATGGAGGGCGCATTTCGGAACTGGAGCTTCGTCTACGACAATACCTTCTTTTCTCTCAAGCCTGGTGGTTGGATTGAGGTTCAAGATTTTGTGAGCGCTGAGGGCTTCGCACAATTCTTATCACAGTTCCCCGACAACTCTGCCATGCACGAACTCCTTCGAGACCTCTTGATTGCTTCGGAAAAGTCGGGGCGCCCACGAGGAATACATCATCTCGAGCCACGGTTGCTCATGGAGGCAGGCTTTGTCGACGTACGGGTTACGGAATACTCTATTCCAATTACCGTTGCTGAGGCATCTGCTGGCAAGATCTGGCTTATTTCGTGTCTAGACAGCTTCGAGGCATATTGCCTGCGTTTGTTGACGGAGTACATGGACTGGGACCCTGAAAAGTGCAAACAGGCTTGTGAAGCTGCTGCCCGAGACTTGGCAAACGCAGCCAAGGACCCCGAGAAGTCGAAGGGCCTTCAGATCAAGATGCGCATCATCATTGGCAGAAAGCCTCTCGATGCGCCGCCCACAGATCTTGCAGAATTTCTGGGGAGGAGTTACTCGCCAGTAACAGAACTGAATGGCGACAGTCCTGATCCTACGCTCCGTCCAGATGACCAAACAACTGCAGGTCTAAGCTGAGGCGGTGATGCCAACTCCGGTTATGGCGAGGGCACGAAGAAGCTTAATTCTGGGGCGGCTCAGTGGCTTTGCTTTGTGTGCGATGGGGTTTGGCGCATACTTTTGTTTTGGGCCGGCGTTGTAAACGGATAACGACTTTTTTTCCCCGTTCTTCTAAACATTTATCTGTACATTCTTCAGCATTCGATCTAGGGGTTGGTTATCCTTTGAAGATACTCATGGACGGCGCTCTGGTGTACACAAGACTTGTTCGTCTGATAGTTATTGAGAGCTATAGGCATGACGAGTTATGTAAAAGACACTTGGATTGGTTAGACAGACATAGGGAGAACATGTGTATCGGTGCACTGACAATAGAATCTTTTAGAGTCAAAACTTTTACTGCCTCTGATTCATCAAGCATTCCATTAAAACTGTGTCGTTATAACCCAGGTGATGCCAATCCAATACCAAAGGCGTGGTGATGTAATGGGATATTTGGGGTGGGTGTTTTGCTAGGAGCTTGGAGCTAAATAGCGGCCTTAGCCCCCAACAGGAGATATGTGAGGTGCCTATCCGGCCCCAGGTGGGGACCCGGAGCTGTCCAACCACCGACTTCGTCACCGTCAACACCAACTCTCATTCATTCCGATCATCAACCAGCATCAGTGAACCGACCCAACCTCCACAGCCCCTGTTTGTCGAGTTCAAATCAGACGTCTACTCCGTAGCAGTGTGCAAGACGCATAGCCACCCTCTACGCCCCCGACCGCCGAATATGCGCTTGTGAGACCGCGACTATGGCCCTGGATCTCCAAGATGGCTTCGTTGCCGCCAATGGCGTGCCAGATCTTGAAGAACCTATTTTCACCATAGAGCGCGTTCAGTTACAGTTCTCAGTAGCGGCTGATTTTGTTGCTGCGCAGGTTGCTAACAACGTCATCGTACTCGCCCTTTCCAATGGACGCATTCTCCGTATTGACCTGGAACGACCCGAGGATATTGACGGTGAGCAGTTAAGTGATGTATCATGCAGCTAGTCATGGCGACTGATTTCGCAATGTATAGATATCGACCTTCCCAAAAAGCCATCCGAGATTGGCATGATACGGCGCATGTTCCTCGACCCTACAGCTTCACATCTAATTGTTTGCACTGCGCTTGGCGAGAATTATTACCTCCACTCCCAGTCAAAACATCCTCGGCCACTTGGGCGTCTGCGAGGAGTTTCGATCGAGAGTGTCGCATGGAACCCTTCGTTGCCGACAGCGTCGACACGCGAGATATTGATTGGTGCATCAGATGGCAACATTTATGAAGCCTTCATTGAGACGTCAAAGGAGTTTTACAAGAAGGAGGTGAAGCACTTAAAGAATCTACACAAGCTTCCTGACGGACCAATCACGGGATTGTGGGTGGACAATCTTCAGAATAACAAATCAGACCTTCGGCGGGTTGTGATAGCTACTCAGACACGCTTGTTTCACCTAGTCGGAAGGATAGGTTTTGGGCATGATGGTTCAGGGTCTGTATACACCCGATTGTTCGAGTCAGAACAGCCTGTTGTTCATGAACTGTCCCGGACGACCTCAGGAGCACCTTCGAGCTTAGCGGTGTCCCCAGACCCCCCAGATTCCGGACCATACGATGACAATATTCCTGATAGAGCATATGCGTGGCTATCGTACCAAGGCGTGTTCCACGGTAAACTATTGAACCAGCCTGCAGACAGCAACCTCGGGACCAAGGTCTTTTCAGAATCACATATGCTCTCTAGAGCTCAGATCCTTTCCCCTGAGAATAGCGAAAGACGAGTCCCGACAACCGAGGCAATTGATGCAATCGCACTCACACAATGGCATATTGTCCACCTGGTCGGAGGTCGTGTCATCACAACGAATCGCCTCACGGGAAAGATGGTGTCTGAGCATGATGTTATCGGTCAGGGACAGAAGCCTCTCGGGTTCTCCGTGGATATCCAAAAGAACACATTTTGGCTATTTACATCAGACGAGATATTTGAGATTGTGGTTCGAGATGAGGAGCGCAACATCTGGGAGATTATGACAAAGCTGAAAGAGTTTGAGCCAGCTCTGCAACACGCTCGAACACCACTTCAAAAGGAAACAGTCGCGGCTGCGTACGGTGATGACTTGGCCAAGAATGGACACTGGCTCGAGGCTGCTACTGTCTATGGCCGTAGCAATAAGCCTTTTGAAGATATTGCACTGAGCATAATCGACAATAATCAACCAGATGCCTTGAGAAAGTTCTTACTGACAAAATTAGCTTCGCTCAAGAAATCTGCAGTGATGCAGCGGATGATGATCGCGGGATGGTTGATCGAGGTCTTTATGTCCAAACTCAACACGCTGGATGATACGATAAACACACAAGCTGAGCCGTTGGAGCACCTCAACTCGACTGAATCACGCAAGCTACTCGAGTCTGTGAGGAAAGAATTTAAAGATTTTGTCGACAAGTATAAAAACGACCTCGACCGGAAAATGGTCTACGATGTCATCAGCAGCCACGGCCGTGAGGGAGAACTTCTATACTTTGCCAATGCGGTTAACGACTACAACTACGTTCTTTCGTACTGGGTACAGCGAGAGAGATGGAATGAGGTACTGAATGTTCTCAAGAAACAGACGGATCCTGAAGTCTTTTACCGATATAGCAGCGTGCTTATGACATATGTCGCAGCAGAGTTAGTTGAGATTTTGATGAGGCATGCTGACCTGAAGCCTCGAAATCTCATACCAGCCTTTCTTGAGTACAACCGTACATTCTCGGGAAGTCCCAATGCACAGAACCAAGCCATCAGATACCTCAACTATGCGGTTTATCAGCTGAACTCGAAAGATGCTGCTGTGCACAACACTCTCGTCTCGATTTACGCCTCCCACTCCTCCAAGGATGAATCTGGACTTTTATCCTACCTACAAGCACAAGGCGATGAGCCACGTTACGACCCAGATTTCGCCCTTCGACTTTGCATTCAACATCACCGAACATTATCTTGCGTTCATATCTACACCAGCATGGGGCAGTATCTTCAAGCAGTCGACTTGGCGCTTTCTCATGGCGAAGTTGAACTGGCAGCAGTTATTGCAGATCGACCCATGTCGAATCCGCAACTGCGCAAGCGGCTGTGGCTTGCGGTGGCCCGAAAAGTCATTTCTCAATCGAATGGAATCAAGGCCGCCATTGAGTTCCTCAAGCGGTGCGACTTGCTCAAGATCGAGGATCTCATTCCTTTCTTCCCCGACTTTGTTGTTATCGATGACTTCAAAGAGGAGATTTGCGCCGCGCTGGAAGATTACAGCCGTAATATCGATAACTTGAAGAAAGAGATGGACGAGTCGTCGCAGACTGCAACAAATATCAAGGTTGACATTGCTGCGCTCGATCACCGATACGCAATCGTGGAACCTGGAGAGAAGTGTTATACGTGTGGGCTGCCGCTGTTGAGCAGGCAGTTCTTTGTCTTCCCCTGTCAGCATTCGTTCCATTCTGACTGCTTGGGACGCAAGGTGCTGGAGCAAGCGGGCGTTGGAAAGTCTACACGTATCAGGGAACTTCAGACACAGATACAGAAGGGTTTGGTCAGTGGCACTCAGAGGGAGACTGTGGTGGCGGAGCTGGATGCTCTTGTCGCTTCTGCTTGGTACGTTGGTGTTTCCTCCTGTAGTTTCACAGCTAACATCCTACAGTATTCTTTGCAGTGACCTTGCAATCAAGAGGATTGATGAGCCTTTCATTACGCATAACGACAACGTCAACGAATGGGCGTTGTAACAAGAGGAGGGCGGGAACAGGGCCTTTGTGCTTGTGGCTGCCTTATCATTATCTTAGATCTGCATATACCCCCGCAACATTAATTCAGTACAATTGACGGCAGCCTTGATCTGAAACCTATGGTCCAACATGGAACCGAGCAATCGCGCCCTGGTTTGTATGTCTCAATACCTGCATTCGGTTACACCATCGGTGGAACGAGTCAACATAAGGATGGACACAATGACACCGTATAAGCCTAGGACCTCGGCAAAGATGAGGATGAGGACCATTCCGATATAGAGACGCGGTTGCTGCGAACTTGCACGAACTGGGGGTTGTTAGACATTTGTCACGGATTGTCAAGTTTGCTGCCTTTTAGTCCATGAGTGAACATACCTCCAGCATCACCAACAATGCCAATAGCAAAGCCAGCAGCCATGCCGCACAGCCCTACGGAAATGCCGGCACCGAGCTGCAAGAAGGCCGTGTGGATAGCCATCTTCTCCTTGATGTTGTTTGACATGATGACGCTTGCTACGAGACCGTAGATAGACAGGATCTGGGCCATGATGGCGCACAAGCTAAGTGTGTCAGCCACAGTTTTACCGACATCGGGTTCATCTCATCGTACGTGTTTTGCATCATCATGTCGGGGCGGAGGATGCCAGATTGGAAGATTGCGCCGGCGGACTTTGCGGTGCCGTATGCTGCGCCGAATGTTGTGAAGACGATGGAACACGCACACCCAATTGCGCCAAAGAAGGACTGACAATCGGTTATGTGATTAGAAGTGGGTTATTCTTTGGTAAAGGGCTACATACGGCGTACACGGGACTGAGAATTATCATGTCAGTTGAGTCTCGGTGATTAAGAGAGTAAGAGGGAGGTTGTACCATCGGTCCATATTCGCAAGCAATTCGGCATCCATTTTGACGTTGTTTAGTTACTGTGGATTTTTCGGTTGGAATTAAAAGGTGTTATCACGGGTACGGATGGTCAGAAGTTTGTGGTAAGCAAGACATATGTGTATATATATATACTCATACCAGGCTGCACACTCGGTCCAGGACATGTAAGCCTGCAGACAACATCACTTCCATGGCAACATACAGCCCCCTCAAAAGGATTGATTTCAGCCGCACAGAGACAAGACTATCAATCTTGGCAGCGCTTTGCTAGGCAACTAAAAATTGATGACTTGCACGGTTTGTGTTGGTGATGTCGACTTGCATCGTTACGTGGCTTGGTAGGCAGAAGAATAAGCAGTGTTATAAGTGGTTGATGGCGAGCATCCAAGATAAGATGCAAATCCGGGGAGAGGCATCTAGCGCTGTTCATTGATGTATTCACTAAGGACATGCCCCTCTGTGCCCATACATACAGCACAATGGCTAAGGGGTAATTGACATGAATGTCCTGTCCGTCCGAAAGCGGACGTTGAGTTCGACCTGGGGGGTTGTGAAACCCAAGATGTCACTGCATGATGCAATGAGAAACAGCGTAAAACTTGAACCGAGAGTAATACTATGGGATGGGAAATAACCACAAGATGGGAAACATGCTTCTCGTGATATTTGATTCTTGGTATTTATTTAGAGCAAGATTGATTCGAATATTCGTATGGATCAAATGGAACCATTGTCTACCCTAAACATCCACGATGACTGGAGAAAGAGAAATTGGAGAGCCAATGACTATAGAGGGACGAGATCTTGGCAGTTCCGAGTGGGAAAACATCTATTTAAAGGAATGAAACGAGAATAAGACGTCATGCCAACTAACCAACTTGGCTCTATTCTGATTACTACCAAGTTACTAACTTAGTCTATCCACCAAAGTACATGTACCTAAGTGAGTGGCCTCCGTTGTCAATCGGAAGTTCGGCACCTTTGAGCCACTTTAAGTTGTCGTAAGCATCGCCATCAGACTCTCATGCATGTGATGTCAACTGACGACCTAGCGACCCTTCCTGAATAACCTAAACTAGAATCGAATAGTTTTCTCTTACAAGAAAGACTCTGTAGCACGAGGCCTCAGAGAAAGAAAGCCACGGCCGTGGTTAAGCACTGCAGGGACCAACGCCTTGCACGTCATAAAGCATGCGCCTGGCGAGTCAGACGCCCATGTAAACGTTTCATAGAGAGGCTTGCAATTAAGGCTCCAACGCATAATAAATATACTTACAGTCTTGCTTAGTCTACGGAATGGGGAGCAGCAGATTGACTGTACAGTTAGTTAGTAGGATGGGTACTACCTACTGACTACCTAGGTACCTAGGTTAGGTATTACTGGTATGCGAATACTACCGGTGTCCAATCCCCCGGATCTTCCGCCTTTTACGTGTCCGCTCTATCTCCCGAACAATCTCTAATAAAGGTTTCTACCGGCCGCGCGTCTACTTATTGACGCCTCAGCATCAACTCGAGTTGGGGGTGATTCTGAGTTAGGCCCGATGAGATGAGATGGGATGAGAGGCATCCCGACGGTTTCGAGGTGTTTCGAATATGCAAACTCCACTGGTTCGTGCGGCGCCTAAAGATGATTCTGTTACAGCTTAGATCGATGAAGGGGGTAAATGGCATGACTGGATTTTGGAAGTGTTATGCAAAATGCATGCAAATGTCACAACGAATGAGTGTTACAGATTTCCGACATGTATGTATGTTTTCATTGCTCTATCTGTCTATCTGTCTCTCACACTCCCTCTCCTCGGGTCGTTCCTCGCTACTTACTTCGGCGTTTCCGTGCCGAAAGGTGGTGCTCTGACGTTTGCTTTCCAAGGTGACGTTGGCACATCGCGAGAGTTTAGTACTCCCGCGCGGATGTGCGGCAAGATCCTTAGTAACATCGACTATCTATGACCAAATATCGGCACTGCAACATACTAGTCAGTCTACCGAGTTCGCCTTGTGGGCGTAGTCTAACTTAAGTCGGGGCGGAGTATCCGTCTGTACATCGGGGCCAGGATATAAACACAGGGATCAATACCCTCAGTTGATGGATGAGCTCGACAGATCAGATCAACTTGCAAGGTTTCAATCATGAAGTCTACTCAACTATCCCCCTTGCTTTTGTCTTTGTTGCCACTCACTCAAGGAATTTCTCTCAACAGGAGAGACAATGGCCTCGAGCCTCGTGTTATGAGCGTCGAGATCCAGAGGCGGACAATACCTGATCCTATTTCCAATGATCGAAGACGTCTTCGCAAGCGAGACGGGACGATAGAAATTGGTATTGACAATGAAGTAAGCATCTGCCACAGTAACACAGAGACGCAACCATTGACATTCTCTAGCAATCTCTATACTTCCTCAATGCATCATTGGGAACGCCACCTCAAGATTTCCGCCTCCATCTCGACACTGGAAGCAGTGATCTATGGGTCAATGCTGAAGGCTCAAAACTATGTTCTACTCACGCAAATATATGCAGCGAGTCTGGACTATATAGCCCCAACAAGTCGTCGACTTATGAGTACTTGAACAGCGACTTCAACATCTCCTATGCCGATGGCTCTGGTGCTTCCGGAGACTATGCTACCGAGACATTCCGCATGGGTAGTGTAAAGCTTGAGGATTTACAGTTTGGTATCGGATATGTTACATCTGACAACGAAGGCGTCCTTGGTATTGGATACAAGAGCAACGAGGCTCAGGTCGGCCAACTCAACCGAGACGCCTACGATAACTTGCCGGCCAAGTTGGCTTCCAAGGGCCTCATCGCTTCTAATGCTTACAGCTTGTATCTGAACGACCTCGAATCTGCCACTGGAACCATCCTATTTGGAGGCGTGGACCAGGAGCAGTACACCGGCGATCTAGTCACTCTCTCTATCAACAAGATGAATGGCGAGTTTTCCGAGTTCTCCATCACACTACAGAGCGTCAGCGCAGACTCAGAAACCATCGTTGACAACCTCGACCTCGCTGTTATCCTCGACTCTGGCTCAACACTGTCATATCTCCCAGCCACACTTACATCAGACATATACGACATTGTTGGCGCTCAGTACGAGGAGGGCCAGTCTGTGGCATACGTTCCCTGCGATCTTGGAAACGATTCCGGAAACTTGACGTTCAAGTTCAAAGACCCAGCAGAGATCTCAGTGCCATTGAGTGAGCTGGTTCTCGACTTCACCGACGTGACAGGGCGTCAACTATCCTTCGACAATGGCCAAGCAGCCTGTACCTTTGGGATAGCACCCACCACAGGAGACATTTCTATCTTGGGTGACACGTTTCTCAGAAGCGCCTATGTTGTTTTCGATCTTGACAATAACGAGATCTCACTAGCACAGAGCAACTTTGACGCTACAAAATCCCATATCCTCGAGATCGGTACCGGAAAGAATGCTGTTCCTACTGCCACTGGCAGTGGTTCTTCTGATAACAAGGAAAATGCCGCTGCGTCACTTTCACCATTAGGAGCCGACGCAGCTATTTCTATGGTTGCTGGGGCCTTTGCCCTCGGGTTTGCTTGGATGCTTATTTAACGTGGTATTAACGATGTGCATGATTTGGTTTATGAAGGTATCTGCAGTGAGGCATCATGATTTAGCGTCTGATTTAGCATGATGGATGTTCTGGTGTTACATGGGTTATTCTGTTGGGCCATATTCAAGGAGTATTGGGTCGAGATAGACACGCGCTAAGAGAAATGATGTTCTATTGACTTTTGAATTAATTGCCTTTAAATCGAACCCATCCTACATGCAACTGAGCGATGGCAGTGATCTGATCTTCGTTTGCCGATTCGGCTCCGAAAGGTAGCATTTTACCACTCTTCACTAATATACATAGCATGGCATACAAAGTTACACTACGGAGATTAGTTACACCCGATGTATACATCATATATATATATTTCGACTGTCCCTTATCCGAGTAAGCTCACGTTTTCGGCCCCAAGACTTCAGTCTGCTGTCGATGGCATGCTACAGTAAACACTGCCCCTGAAACCAATATACGTCAACCGGTACAGAATGACTGCTTATATCGAGCTTGCAGCCTCTTGGCTCTTCAAAAACTCCAAGGGCAGAGATGCGAAAGCTTTCTTCACCACTCCCGCCTTTGCTGAGCATCCAGACCCTACACTTGCTGTCACGTCTCCAGACTGTGGCCCAGATGGTGCAACATTGGGGAAAGACTACATGCACGGCGGTCAGCACAAGTTTCCAGAGTTATCCTGGGACTCTCACTCTGGTGTAAGAGAGTGGTTAATTGTGTCTGAAGACCCAGATGCTCCCCTGCCAACGCCAATTTGTCATGGGTGAGTTGACATTTTGATTTGGAGGAATGAGACTAATTGTTGTAGAATCTACTTGGGAATACCCTCTGAGAAAACAAGAGTTGTCGGGAGTGACTTTGAGCCTGTTGAAAAGAGTTCAAATCGACTCGCGGGAGGCTTCTACTATGGCGCGAGTCGCAACGGCTCAGTTTATATTGCTCCTCGGCCACTTCTGAATCATGGCATTCATCGATGTGAGTATACCTGCGTGGCTCAGGTGTAAATACATGAGTTAACATGATGCAAGACTGGTATGAAGTAATTGGTTTAAATGAGCCCTTGGACGAGAAGTTCAAGATCTCCAAACCGAACAGGGATCAAGTCGCAGACGCCATTAACGGTAAGATAGTTGTCTGGGGGAGATGGATGGGACAGTGCGGGAGAAGATGGGAGTGAGTCAAGACAGAGACGGCATCGATCTCATTATGTTTCGACTCTTATGCACAATTGACGGCTCCAATCTCTCATCCCGTCACACATTTTGTAGTTAGTGAACACGAACACGAACTCCCTTAGATTCGTCCAAAACTCCAGATGTTCAACCCAGTCTTGGTTCCCTGCTGAACGGGCAGCCCAGCATGCCATGTCTCTTCGTACCCTCTGCCATCCGCCGCAAAGTTCTCCCAGTAGACTGCATTCCCCGGAGCAACCTTGAATGTCACACCAATGCCTCTATGTTCCTCCGCATCGTCAGGACACTCGATGAACCGACACCATTCCGTCTCCGCTGGCCTCTTGATAAGGGGAAACTCGGTGCCGCCGCCTTTAAGGCTATCAGAACCCTCGACCCATACCATGAGACTGCTCACACGGCCCCATCCGCGCGTGCTGGAGCTCCAGTCGAAGTGATGGTTGTAGTGACCACCGGGATCGTACCGTTGAGTCCTCAGGCGCTCGATCCAGAGATCGGGACGCCAGCCTTGAAGAGCGCGGGCACGAGACTCAATGCAGCGGACAGGGTCAGTTCTGGGAATGACCGCAACGCGAGAGTCACGGATTGAAGAGTCGCGATGGGTGGCCTCACCATTGTTGGTTATGGTTGAAGGTACAAAGATTGGTTCGCTATTGAGTATTAGCATCATATCATACATATCATGACACGATACCGGGACATGACTAGGCACCTTATATCAAGCAAATGCTTCCTCTCTTCCCCATTCAAGAAATCCTCAAGATAAATCACCAGAGGCTCTCTGCTCACGATTCTAGCAACATAACCATCTGGAGCACATTCAGGCGCCGTCGCATTGGGCAGATCAAAAGCTAGGAGCGACTCATTCAACCTAGGGCGCGGTGACGCATCGTTGATGTGGGTGACCCGGTCTGGATACAAGAAGTCACTGATGGGGTTTGAGAACACTAGAATGATAGCCAGGAGCCCAATCACGTATTGAAACATGGCTGAGGGCGACTCATAAGCAGTCAATGGCTGATAGTCTAAAGGAGGATGAGAGTTGAAGGGGGCGGACGGTTGAGCTCAAGATGAGTGGAGCAAAACTACAAGGGCTAAAGCTTCGGATAAGACGGGGGTCACCAATGCCTGACCATATTTGAATCTCGAAGAGCAGAGTTCGGGTTATGAGTATTCCATAGGTATCTTAGTCATTTGAAGAGGCCCTTGGTTTATTTATGTCCTCTAATTGGTCCCAAAACGAGTACAAGAGTTGTGTGTCGCCATCTCCAACAATCATGGGTATATATCGTACCAGTTCCCCTTCGTTCAACACATCAACGTCCACTAAATGAAGGACTAAAACTCTAGTCGCTACCTAGTAATACATATAACCTCAATCCAAACCCATCCATCCTTGTCAACTTCCTGCTGGAAGTCCTTCGACATCCCAGCTGAGGTCGACAGCATTCAATATCCCCCAAGGATCGCCATCATCGAGGGGAATAGTATTTGCCGCCATCTGTGCAAACAGTGTTTCTTCGGTAGACTGCCATATCGGTGTGGAAATACGTTCTTGGAATGCTCTCAGATCGACTCGATTTTCCTCTGCGCTGTTCCCGAGGCCGATATCAGGTGAGGTATGACTACTCCCGGAGACCGTCTTCGTGTAGGAACCTTGGTTAGCTGGCGAAGATGCGGCTGATGAATTTGTTCGATCCGGTAGCGAAATAGCACCTGAGGCCATGCGGGGCGAAAATGATGCTGGCCACATACCCGTTCCTCTGAAGTTGGGATTCAAATTCAAGTTGAGAGGATCTCTGCTTCGCATATTGGCCATAACTTCAGGTCCAGGACTTTCTTTCGTTCTCTTTCGTTTGTTGGTTTCCGGATCTGGTCGATCCGCAGGTTCGACATTTCTAGCAGCGGCCCCAAGCACAGCTGAATAACACGTCTTTCCCAGCGACATGGCGCTGGCCACCTTGTCCAGTCTTGACTCTTCAGCATCCATCCGTTTCTCTTGGGTGAAATTGGAAGCAAATAAGATAGGCGATGCCCCAGTATGCCCCGCAACCGAGCTTCGGGCAAGCATGGGGATGCGCGACCTGCTTGGTCCAAAAGCGTTTCGATATTTCCTCAATGATGGTACTTGAATAACAGAGCCGAGTCCGTTCTTTTCGATGTCGAGGCATGCCTGCTGTAAGAACGTTCGTGTGATGGTATGTACACGTGCGATAGCTTCCATAGATTGGATTATGAGCTGGAAATTTGACAGGTCAATTGTGCTTAAGCCGTTGACCGGGTTCTCTTTGCCTAGGTACACGTAAACCGTAGTGGTACAGTATAGCGAGAGAGCAGACAATGGACTCTTCTATACAGTGGTTAGCCAAGATAAGAAACAACCAGAATGAACATACAAAGAACAGAGTACCGTTGGCGGTCAGTCGCATGATATTGACAATCTCCTCGGCAGCCGCTCGCAGGCGAGTAACGCTGCCCTGTTTGACATGATCGGGAAGGTTGTGTTTGTCCGCTTTTTCAACGGCAGCGTGGTGCAGACATATAATCGCGGCGTGAAGATTGAGGTTCAGATGGAGTGCTGATACATCTCGCACATTCTCAGGGAGGCGGAATTTCTCGGGGAGAAACATAAAAAGGCTGGATAACGTGTTGTCTAGATCGCGGTGTCGAGTCCAGAATGACCCATGCATTAAATCTTCATTTCTTGAGTCGGGCTTGGATCGGTGAACATGACGGAGAATGATTTTGAATATTTCACAAGTAAGGATGGTTCCAGCAAACCCTGTGTACTGAGCACCTTGAATTGCCTCATCCAGAAAAGGAGCATCCTCTTTGCGATCTTCGACAAATGCTTCTTCTGAGGCAGGAAGCCTTGTCGCGATCTAAGTCGTGGTCAGCATTGCTCAGGAAACGGGAGAGTATGCCATACGTCTTCCGAGTTAATCAGGCTCGGCCATCCTGTAGATATACTGCAATGTGCATCTGCAGCAAACACTCCCCAAAAGATTCTCCTTCGCTCTTCCAGTTCAGCCCATGTAAGGGGAGGTCCCAGTGCCGGTGGCATGCCAAGGGGATCCCCATCGAGACGGTCAAGTCCTATCATGTGGCACAGTCGTACGGAGTTAGCTACGCTTATGGTCGACCTCGTGAAAAGCAGGTGTTTTGCCTCGTAAAAGGCTATGAGGGCCCATGTCTGCGCGTGTTGGACAGATATGAAAGCATCCCCATGTCCCTGAGCTTGTCAACATTGACCTGCCAGGCACTCTCAAATCGCTCACCTTCATCATGTCTGCCTCAATGTACGCCCGTGATCGACGGTAAAAGATATCGTGGTACTCGTCAAACTTGGTGCTGCCAGTGGCTGCCAAAGCCCATATGGCATATCGCAGACACATAGGGGGTCTTCTGAGTAGAGGGCCATAAAAAGATTGGAGATATTTTCCCGGGTGGATAATTGGTATCATCCGATATTGGTTATGAAAGAAGATGTTGTTACTGTGAAGGTCAGCGCCCATCTTGGAAGTCCAAATACCGACCGTTCTTACAGTTCTTCCATGACATCGTCCGGCGGCAAGGGTTCAGTCATACCTAGACTCATCAACTGCGCATTGAGAGACTGGGGACTTGGTTGTGGATTTTGGACTATATTGGGCGATGTGAAAGACGAAAAATCGGGATCAGGCAGACTGTTAATTGTCTGACCTAGTCCAGGGGTAAAGTCCATGTCAAAGAAGTTAACGTTTGCCTGGGGTGGCTGAGTAGGACTCCCATCATCTGTTTTCTCCTCTGAAGAA